TATTGAAGATAGTTCTCACATCTTGCAGTCTTTTAGATAATCCCAAATTCTAGCAGCTTATAGATTATTATATCATTATTATGGTTAATACATCAAAGGGAATTTGGTGTTTCTGCCCTTACTATAGAGTCTAATGTGATTTTACCCCTACTTTTCTAACTTTGTGATTTTACCCTCATAGTTTTGATTTGAAGCTGATGTTTGCCCCTGTTTTGGACGGGCGTTAGTTAACGATGGATTAAGCGACGAAAAATAGGAAAAATAAAACAAAAGAATGGGAAGTACCAAAATACCCCTTTTCTTTTCACCCTCGCTCCTCCCTCGTTCAGTCCAAGGCCACACGTTTTCTGTTCCCAGGCGACAGCATGTTAGACGGCTGCGGCCGCTCGGACAGGCGCGTGGGGTGGCAGCGGCTCGCGCGGCACGGGGCAGGCCAAGTCTTGTCGGGTGTGGGGCGCTGCGATGGTGTTAAATCCCAACCACGCCATGGTGCATGTGTCCACATCGCCTGACAGCGCCAGGCTTTCCAGTGGGGACAACAAACAAGAGGGAGAGGGAGCTATTTCTCTTTCGCTCACTGATTCTTGGCCGGAGCTGCTGCAGATGCGAGCGCCCGCCTTCTCCACCAGCAGGTGAAGGTGTAAGACCGTTGTGCCTGGAGGCCTGGACCAAGCTCAAGGCTCAAGCATTAGCAGACGGAGGTAGTCCAATGGTAGCGTCCTGCCCAACTAGTGACAGTTCTTCCTGTCCACCGTTAACTGGATGAACCAGAGCATGTGGAGCTGGCGGATCTCGCAAGCGGTTGACGCTTAGAGTAAGTTTTGGTTAGGTGGAGGTCACAGGCGGTGTTGAACTTGTAGTTGGGGTAATTAATCGATTAATTAATTACAAGAGACGAGAGGAGATTGTTTTGCTCTTTTACTTTTTTCGACGATTGAGCGACATACAAAAGATGGCAGTCTGTTTTTTTCTGGACACCGTGTAATCCATTTCACCTAATTGCTCGTTGGTGAAATGAAGTGTGAGTGATTGCACATTAGTTGATTGTCCAATTTGATGTTAAAATAATGGTAAAATCATATGGTACTCAGAAAGCTAGAGGTAAATTTGTATGTACAAACTCTTTTTATTTTTACATCTGAATTGAGGGCGCGTTTGGTTTGCGTCCAAAGGATGCCGTGCCGGGCCGCAACTTCAGCGCCGCAGTTGCGGCATGCGTTTGGTTTGCTGCCCCATTTGCGGCATGCCGCAGCCTTACCGTGGTCCTCTAGTGTATTTTGGGTGCCAAAACGTGCTGGAGTTGCGACGGCTGATTTCAGTGCCGCAGTTGCGGCACGGCCAAACGTTCGGTGCGGCAGTTTCTGGACACCGTCCAAATGCGCCCTGATACTGTTAAGGCGTTAAGTGCTTTTACCGGAATAGGGGCAAACTCAATCTTTAATTTGAAAATGCAGGGGTAAAATGATAAAGTTTAAAAATAGATGGTAAAATCACCATTTGCATTGGAAGCGGGGGCATGAACACAAAAGCCACATACATCAAAGTATTTAGAAGTAACAGTTGAATTGAATTGAATTCTTGGATAACTGGTCATGCATGTAGAAGATCAATTTGACAAAGATATTTTCGAAGGTGATTGCAGTTTTGATTGAAATACAAGGCAATCTTTATTTTCTCCTTTCCAGTCTATGGGAGCCATGCCACCCCCTGCTTTAACAACGAATTCAAATTGATCTTGTGTTCTGCATTCTGAGTACACTTTGGTTCGAATTTATTTGTCTGCCAATATCAGTGTCAGTTTTCTCCTGAGTCAATCTTGAAGAGACTTTTTTGTCGTGCTAAGTGATCTCCACTGCTTTCTTGGTTGCAGTACAAGAATGTTAGGCCGGATTACCTGAACAACATCTGGAAGGTGATTAACTGGAAATATGCTGGAGAGGTGTACGAAAATGTTCTTGCTTGAATTATCTTAATGGACAATACTCATCTGTGCTGGGTTTCGTCTGTTTGACCATGTGAAATAAAGATGGACCTGTCGAGCCGCTGGACCTTGTGTACATTTCGCTGAGATAGACTAATGCACAATGGCCTGCCGATTTTGTTCGTCCTGCTTGCGTGCTACTCTGTTCTCTGCTCCTAGTGCATCCTTCGAGCAGGGTGATGGCAAAGGGAACCATTCCTACTCTTGTCTCCATTAATAAAGTCTGCTGATCTTCCGATGTTTGCTTGAATTTGTTGCCATGCGTTTCCAGTTTTTGGCCTTTCCACTTGGAGCAAAATCTTGCAAATCATGTTCATAGGCATCATGTTTATGTTGAGCTGAAATTACCGTTTGAAGATATCTTTGGCTATAAGTTTCAGTGTTCAGTTTGAGGCCGCTTAACCTAAACAGTTTACACGGACTCATTGGACATTTGCCCTTTGTTCTCTGTGCTATACATTTACACAATGCTGCGTGTTCATCACTGAATTTTCACACGATGCTTGCGCACAATTCGTTGAGAAGGAAACAATCTTATCCTGATTCGTAAGGCATCATTCTTATTCTGCATATTGCCAACAAGATGCCAATTCTATACGATCGCCAGGTGCTCAGGCTGCAAGTACATGCAAGGAAAAAAAAATATCCAAAAATCCTTGTGTTGGGAAAACGGAGATCCTTAAGTTTAAATTGCTGCATTTTTTTTTCATTCGTGAGCCTCAGAGATGACCTTGATCGTCAAAAAAGAACTTTTGTTTGGGATGGTCCAGGAGCACTTTTATAGACTTTTTTTTTCAAGAACAGCTAACCATAGGCATTCAGTCGACCTAAACTTTTTGCAATTACATACACTCACGCACACACTCACCTCTATGAACAGGTCACCTGCCATCACCTTCACATCTATTTAAATTTCTTTTTCTATGCAATATGCAGCTCCAATAAAACCACAATTTACTACTCCGTGGTGTCTCAGAGCATCTCCGGAAAATGCCCCCTACTTCCCCTACTCTGGATTTAGGTAGTGGGGGTCCAAAAATCAACTCCAGCAGATCCTCTACTTCTGATAGTCCCCTACTTTTCCCTCAAAACCCCCTACTTCTGTTGGCCGTCTACTCTACTCTCCCTACTTTTTTTTCTCTCTCGTGTGCATCGACGCTCTTCTTCACTCCGACTCGGCGCGGGCTCCCCGGTGGCCTTGCCCCGACGGCGCGGCCGGCCCCGGCAGTGGCACCCTCCATGGAAGGGCCTGTCCCGGCGGCGACGCCCTCCCCGACGAGCCACAGGTGCGGCAGCCATGGCTCCTTGGCCTTACCCCCCGGCGTGGCTCTAGCAAGCCCGCCCCAGCGCCGCCTAGCCTCTGCTCTGCCCGTCAATGCGAAGAAGATGAGAGGGAATGACATGTCGGCCCCACATGTCATTCTCTGCAAGGATGGATTTGAGGGGTGTATTTTAGGTAGTATTGCTAGAGTAAACCACGGAATATGGATAATATGAAAATTGATAGCTACCTAAACATAGAAGTAGGGGATGTGTTTTAGGTAGCATTGCTAGAGATGCTCTTAAAAGGCAATATATCAACTAAAGAGGGGTGGTAGAACCCCAAAGCCACGTTTTATCAGCATCTTGTGGACACTTCGCCATTGTTGGGCGGGTACGGATGAGCTGCAGCAATCCTATACCAGAAATTTCTACATGGAGGATCCCTTGAGCTCCATGCCTCCATGTTGTAAACTGCGTATATCTCCAATGTTGACCAAAGTTCAAACTCACATTAAAAAAAGCTACATTTCGCATCCTTATGTAGCAGTTCACCCCGAACCTGCATCTTTCTAACACGGTTCTACATCATCACCGAGACAAAGGATTAAAATAAAAGAAAAAAACAGTAGCCTGTATAGAAAACAGGTGGACTGTGGATGCCTATCACAAACATTTGCAAAAAAGAAAAAAAAACCTGATGCAAAATTAATTGAGCAAACTTCGTTGCTTGTATTGGGCACGATGACTGCCATCCGCCGACTACTGCCATAGCGAACGGTTCCCTCTGATTCCAGAGGGCGAATAATGATGAGAACCAGGAACAAGTGCTCAGCTCACAGCTGCATTTGTGCTGTCTACAAAGGAACTTTGTACTTTGGGAATCACACAGCGAGCAGCGTAGTTGGTATTCATCTCAAGTTTCGGATGTCCCGGGCGACATTAACGCAAGAAGCAATTGGACAGTTGGTCTTCATTGTATTTGCACCTATATGAGATCTACAAGCAGAAAAACCCTCCTGCTCACACATATTCAGATACATTAGCTTTTTAAGTCATATATAAATTTAAAAATGTATAACTAACATAAGATGGACCCAATGAACTTGACACATATTATTAACTGGACCTGCGAGGGTATGACCACCCCCAGACATTGCATTAAGAAGAAAACCTTTTCACGCAGGCCCAGAAAACCCCCGAACTCCTGCCCCACCCTTACATAGCGGCACCGTCGCCCTGTGAGAACGGGCCGGTCCTTAGACCTGTGCTTTGGCGTGGGACAAACGAGGGGATTTTTTTTAACCCCAGCCTGAAATTCGCTCCCACGGAGAGTCGAACCCAGGACCTGAGGAGTGCCGCCGGGACACTCTAACTAGTTGGACTAGAGGCCCTTTGGCGACACATATTATTAACAAAAACATAACTATAACCTAACCCTTTTAATCTTTTATATAAGATTGTCAGAAACAAATGACGTGTGTGGTTATGCAATTGTCTTAGTATTTAATTGTCCGTTCCCTCAAATCACTGTGATCTACTAACATGAGTCAAACACTAATACTTGCATGTAATAGTGATATACCTTCCGCAATGAATTGATGAGGGTACCGAGTGGGGGAGAGTTAACTTTTGCTCGTCTGGAAATCTGAATTTAATTGAAAAATTAGCATCGGTGGATAGTTAAATTTTGCTAAGCCAATAATTGAGCGTAGCAGATTGATGAATAAGCGAATATTGAACTGCAAGACATACCTCATCAAGTCTTAATATATCCAGGAGGCAACCTCGGGTCACTCTCTTCAATCATCATGCCAAGAAGTTTTTCCAAAGTGACACCATTTTCAATTGTGCATGCCCATCCCCATTCGTTGGCCAAGCTTAGCATTTCGGTAAGGAAAGAGGCATCATGGAGAGGACCTGTCCAAAGTGGGCCTACTACAGTGATTGAATTGGCATCCTGTGAAAAAGGGACAATTATATACTAGCACACTTCCATGATCAAGTACTCAATAAACAACACGACTAGATGAGATTTCTTGCATGGCATAGGCATACAATTATCATCAAAGATTATTCGTTAGGAAATCAACATCAGGGCTAGCTACAAATGATATCATTTCTTAGATGACACTTGAGTACTTGACTCCTATGTTAATTTGTGTTAATTAATACTGGCAAAGTTAAAAGCTTAGGGCCTAACTTTACTGACATCAACCACCAGTAATAAAACAATAATTTAGTCCTGCCACAATGATCCATTGTACCCACAAGAAATTTGCCCCAGCTCATCAAATCCAAAAGTTTGAGACTGGCCACAACTCTTGCAATGACAAATGAAGCCATAAGTACTGTCAAAACAGAAAGGGCATCAGAGGTAGCATTCCATAATATGTACTGATCAGCTCTGTAATTATTAGATAGAAAAACACAATGCTTTACCTGATGCCATCATCTTTTCCGTTGCATAGTTGTACCATTACTCGATAAATAGGACCATGATATGCAAAATACGAGAATATGGGTGTTATGTGAAATCCCAAAAGAGATGCTTACCGTGCAGCAACACCTACAACCATTCGCAAACCGACCTCATTTGGATATGGCATTGGACGAACATATGCTCCATATGAAGACAAAGAGCTAAAACAGACGACATGTTACATAGTTGACAAAAAAATGATCCATAACTTGTCAATCAAAGTACAGAGAAAATTTGATTTAAATAGACATGTTGGCAGCAAAGCATATAATGGGTAATGCAGTCTCACCATACTTTTTTTGAAGGTAGGCTCACCATACTTGACAGAAGAAGTAACTATACCAACAATAAAGATGCTCCGTGCAATCTAATTACTAATCAGATACATACCAAATCTAGCTAAGCAATTTAACTTCAGTGTTTCATTTCTGTTTGCATAAGTACTAACTTCTATTACTTGTATGGGGGAATGGAAAACATTCACATTAATATATAGCACACGTTTACGAGACAACTCTAAAACCATAAGTTGATCTACAAAAACTATTTACATCGGATACCTCTGCGGCTCTGCCAGATCCTATCGTATAAATATTGATGAACCTAATATAAAAACGTGTAAGCGAATAAGCAACTGACCTAACAAACACAAAAGTCATCACTTGAGGAATCTACATTTCTAATAAGAAAATCCTCGGGACTTAATCCAAAGACTTTTAGATAAGATGAAAAACAAAAATGGATCAAGAACTCACCTTCTCGAACCATATCCTCTCGCGGACCGCCAATCCGTGGACGTCAGGTAGAGCAGGCCCCCAATTTTGAGCGCCAAGAGCGCTGCCCTTACGTACGCAGCGTCGCCGCCGAACGAGTCCACGTCGATGACGTCGAAGTACTCACGCCTAAGGTAGCGCTCTGCAAGCAGACGGGTAGCGTCGTTGTGCGACACCATCCACCTCCTGGGCCCCGCCTCCGCCGCCGGCGAGCTCCGCTCAAAGCGGGAGAGGTTGGCGAGGATGACGGGGCGAAGCGCCTCGGAGGCATCGTTGGCCCAGACGAAGTCGGCGCCGGCCTGCGCGAGGTAGCGGAGCGCGCGGACGCCGCAGCCGCACATCGCATCGAGGCAGAGAAATGGGGCGGAAGGGTCAGGGCGGCCACGGCAGCGGTGGAGCGTGGCCGCGAGGACGGCGAGGTCGCGGCCCGCGGCGCTGTCGCTGCGGTAGAAGGCGGAGCCGGGGTCGAAGGAGACGCCGCGCTCGGAGTGCGTGCAGGCTGGTGGCGCAGGGCGGCGACGCGTGGGTTGAAGTAGAGGGGGAGAACGGGGCAAAGAGATGGCGGCGGCGGCCATGGTGGCCGGAAGAGTTGGGTTGGGGGGGGGGATGCTGCTAGTTCTTAGGATTGGGTTCAGCTGAGTGTTCACGCTGCCGGACTGGAATTTTCACCCCTGCCCAGTCTTTCCCGGTCAGGGTACCTGAACACTGAGCACGTGTAAAAATCACTATCTATTTTCGGCCAAATTTTTTTTAAAAAACACATAATTGACTAAAATTACAATATATCATGCCAGTAAGTTAAACTCATTTCACAGACCAAACACCTTATTTACGTACAGACGAAAAAGAGTAAGACCCAATTAAGATCCACCCAACTATGCCATGTCCGGCTTACCCTATATTCGATTTGTTTGGCTTCTTTTTTTAGTTAAAATAATATTTTCTCTCACAACAATTCAGCCGGAACAGTGTTTTTAGCCAGTTTCAGCCAATTTTTAGATCAGGGAACGGAGCCTAAAGTTTAGCAAGCTAAAATTTTAAAGTTAAATTTTACCTAGCTAAAAGTTCTTCCTCCTAAACTTTAGCTGCGGTGTTTGCATCCTCCAGCTAATAGACTCAGCTAAATTTTAACTAGATTTAGCTGGGTTGAAACACTAAACTCAATTAAATTTTAACTAGTCTTTTAGCTGAGCGGTTTGGATCCCTATCAGCTAAAGTTTAGCTGGTAGATAAAAAAGGCCACAAATCAGAGGACACACGAAAAAAAAAAGACAAGAAAGAATAGGAGAAAGAGATGTTATAGTACCAATTTAATTCAGAAAATAGCAACAATAAAAAGGCTTGTGACATCATATATGTGCTGGTGTGTTCTAAGCATGAGCATCATGTAGATGCTGAAAGGATCAAGATGCTCAAGAGTGGGTGAATTGGGCTAATTCTAAATTTTTTTGCAATAATTAAGTCCTACGGTTAACCCAATTAATCTCTTATGCCTAGAAAGTGTTTCTATTGATATACCGCATAAAAGTTTAGCAACATATGTTCCAATCCTACTCTAGCATGATAATTCTATGAATATAAATGACAAGAATTGAATTGCTCAAAATAAATGCTCAAAGTAAAGAGAGAAGGAGTAACACAGCGATGTTTTGCCGAGGTATCGGAGAGTCACCACTCCCCACTAGTCCTCGTTGGAGCACCCGCGCAAGGGTGTAGCTCTCCCTTATCCACGCAAGGATCAAGTGCTCTCTACGAGTTGATTCTTCGACACTCCGTCACGGTGAATCACCCACAACCGCTCACAACTTGAGTTGGTTCATCCACAAACTCCGTCGAATGATCACCAAGCTCTCAATCACCATCAAACCGTCTAGGTGATGACGATCAACAAGAGTAACAAGCACGAACTCTCACTTGACCATGACAAGCCTAATGAGAAGGGTGGATGCACACTTTGCTACTCTTGCTTTCACTAATGAGGACTCTCTTTGGGATTCTCAAATCTCAATCACCTCATTAGGACCTTACTCTTTTTGGCACTCTGAAAGGTATTTCTCAGCAGTTGGAATGAGCAAAAATACCCCCTCACACGAATGGAGGAAGTATTTATAACCTCGGTGGAAAAATGAACCGTTATGTGTCTCTGCGGGGTGACCGGACGCTCCGGTCAGTTCTGCCCGAACTCTAGTATTTAAGTTTTGACCGGACGGTAGACAACGTCCGGTCTGTACTGACCGGACGCGTCCAGTCGCAATTTTCCCTCTCTGGAACCTTACTGGAGTTGACCGGACGCTGTGATCCAGCATCTGGTCACTCACCTCTCAGCGTCTGGTCGCGCCAGACGATTTCACCTTGATCAAATGAACTGACTGGACTCTAAGCCAGCGTCCGGTCACACCGGAGCTAGTGTCCGATCAGCATTTGACCCTCCATTCACTTCCAACTCTCAATCATACGTGAATGAAGTTTGCTCCAATGGATATAAGGGCTTTTTAGGAGCTACCTAGTGCTAGATTTAGCAAGTGTGCACCACACCTAATCCACTAGACTCACCTAGGTCAAGCTACCCATCCATACCCCCCTTAATAGTACGGCCAAAGGAAAAATAAAGTCATAAACTAGTCTAAGTGTCTCTTCAACACCAAACGACACTTAGAACTAGTCCATCCTTAACCTTGTCGTCCATCCTTTGAAAACCAAAACGATTTCCATCGTAGGGGCATGACCACCATGATTGCCCAATCGATCTCCATTACCGTGACCTAACTTAATTGCTTCTGCAAAACACACGTTAGTCACAGTAATCACGTATTATCATTAATCACCAAAACCTAACTAGGGGCCTAGATGCTTTCAATCTCTCCCTTGTTGGTGATTGATGACAATACCACCTCGAGTATGTGAAAGAGATGAGGTTTTTAACATGCTTGGTTCATATAAGTTTTTGTTAATAAGAACAAAAGAGTTAGGCAAGCTTATATGACCCAAGCCAACATAATGTACTCCAAAGATATGAAATAAGCATGAGTACAAGTAATAAAGCTCATTTGCATCGGAGTAAAACGCGGAAGCAAAGCAAATGAGCATAACACAAGTGATATGACATATAAATGATTCAAAGTAGAGAGCACACATGTCAAATATCACGATCACGTAGATATCACTATCACATAAATATAGTTCAATGCATGAAAGTAAACATGAATGCATAATATATCACACATAAAACTCCAAATATAATAGATTAGCTAATAGATAGACTCCCCTAAATGTATTGCTCCCCCTAAGGCTAACATACTCGATCCCTCTCCCCCTTTGGCATCAAACATCAAAACCTAAGGGTCGGTCAGCGGGGTTGCAGCGGACGAGTCGGGCGTTGAGGTGCGAGGAGCGAGCTGGAACTATGTGCCATCATCATCTAATCCTAAGCTCTAAGCTGTATGACCCTCTGTAGCTAGAAGCGATGCTGAAGCGGTCTGGGTCAGATCTAGAACTGGCGCTGCCTGCTCTGATGATGCAACTAAAGAAGGGAGCGTCTCTGTAGTCCTGATAATAGGTGCAACTATGGAAGGACCTTGGACATGTAGTTCTGGCAGAGTAGGCTGCCCTATCAACTCACTGAATGAAGCACCAAGGCTCCTCGAGACTGGGGTGAGCACTGACGAACTCTGAGGCGGAGTAAAGCCCGTATGAAGAGGAGTGAACTATGGGGCTGGCACTGGCGAAGCAAACCACTGGGACACCTGCTCTGTAGGAGAAGGAAACTATGGCGTTGGCAGTCCCTGACTCTAAAGCCCACTAGGCTGTAAAGTTGGAGTCATAGAAGTGGTGGCAGGCTGACCAAGCAGGGGTGAAGGCTGTGGCGGAGGAGCCCCAATAGCTGTCACAACATGCTGCATAAATCCAAGTAGCTACTGCTGCATGAGAAACTGCTGCTGATGCATGGCTTGCTGCTGCTGCTGTATAGCCTGCTGCTGCATAGCCAGCTGCTATCGCTGGAACTCATCCTGCCTAGTCTGAAACCGTGCAAATGTAGTGATGGTCTCCTATGCCTGGCGAGCCTGATCCTGCCTCATACGCTCAAGTATGGCAAGTAGAGCGGGATCTGTCTGCGGTGCAGGTGGGGCTGAACTGGAGCTACCGGCTTCATGGTCATGTCATTGAGGAGGCATCTGAGGGATATCCTGGTAGTCATCATCTGAGCTATCACTGGGGTTGCTCTCGACCATCCCCTCCTGCTGAGCATCTAACTGCTCCTCCTCTATAGCTGCAATGCCCCTGATGGTCTCATCCTACTAGGCTGCAGTCTCTGGCACCTCTGGACGACGGCACGGCTGGCTGGGTGTCCTCACTGCACTATGGCGGATCATCTGAGTCATGTTGTATGCAGGGAACACTGTAGTAGCACCACTGTACTCTGCCAGCATCTCAGGTGGCCTCACAGTAACTGCCCTGTGGATCAAGAAAGTAATCCAGTGAGCATATGGCAGCTGCCTGTGACCCCTGAACCCCTCTGCAATAGTATCCTCCATCTCTGATAGAAGGAGATCCCAAATGTCAAACATAGTCTGCTGCATTAGAGAGTTCAGTAGCCATAACTATATGCAAGTCAAGCCCTCGCGATACCCCATCCTCGGAAGCAGGGTCCTCCTTATAATAGCATCAAGCACTCTAACAGTAGGAGTGAGATCACTTGGTGTCCTGCTCGACCCCTCGCCGAATGGCTCTATGAAGCAATGGAGGACTAGATCTGTAGGTGGCACCATACTGCCATGAGGGCATCTAGGAGGCACTGTCTGTCCATAGCAAACCTCGTGTAGCCGGACTGGCTGCTCCTAAAGCCTAAGAATCTCCTTGACCCTAAAGCTCATCAGCCTGTAATCTCTGCCTCTGAAAGCAAAGTGAATGAATCTGTGTTGTGGGTCAATTCAAAGTATAGTATAGAACTCACGGACCCAAGATGGAACATATACGCCGGTCCGTCCGAGTAGATCTGTCAGCCCTGGCAAATAAGATAGGTAAGGGCGAATATGCTCACCAGCTACTGCTACAATGGACTCAATGTTGCACACCCTCTGAGATCTAAAAACTGCCCTACTGTTAAGATATGCATCATAAAAATCTTCCTGCAGTGGTGTGTAGAAGCCCTCTGATGCACGCTCATCCCGCCTCGGCGGAAACCACTAATCAAAGTCCACAAATCTGAGCTACTGCACCTGCTTGGCCATGGCAGCCCTCAAATCCAAGTGAGTCACTGGAGGCGAACCCTATGGTCTAGGAGGCGGACGAGAACCCCTCCGCTATGTCTCTGGCCTCGGTGTGACTAGAGCACGAGTACGACCAGAGCGGCGTAACTATGGCTGAGGTGCCTGCTCTGTCTCCTCGGCCTGCTCTCCCTCCTGAGTCTGCTCTGCTGGCTGTGGCTGCTGCTGTGACTCCCCCTGAGGCTGACTCTCATCAATAGCCATATGCCGTCCTCCAACCATGATAGTCCTAGCTGGACCACCATGACGATGCTCAACCTGCTCAAGTGCAGCCCTCGTAGATGGAGAAAGCTGATCTATGATCTGGACTC